AAAATATGGACATGGTCGAAAAACGAATATCGATATGGAAAATCTTACAAACACTATATCAAAGAAATGTGGTTGTCCGTTCAAATTAATCGATAAGTCAATGTTTGATGAATTATAGTGGTTGATTGTTAGTAATGTGAATCCCAACATCATGCCGCATGGACGACCATTGGAATTTCATGTTCTCTTGGAGGTATTTGGAAAATTTATGAAATGGAATGCAAGGGTGTTAACACTAAGGTTTCCCGGTCCCACTTGCATTTTCTTAATTTGTTGGCAACAAATATATTATAAATTTATTGGTTATTTCTGAGTCAGTGACTAATATCTTGTATTAATATTATTGGCGTCATTTGGGTTTAGTTTCTGATTCATCTAACTGAAATGATTTGTGCAGGCCAAAATTAAACATTCAGGCACATTTTTTACCATTCTTCAAAAAACAAAAAGTAAAAAAACTCAAAACTCTCTCAACCTTTCGATTTTCTTTCGCAAAGCCCGTGCAAATCGTCAACAGATCGGAGGTAATTTTTACGTTTTTACGATCCTCTTGTTATGTAGATTACGAATCCGGAAAAAAAAACGAAAAAAATCACACGTTGGCCTGCTCGTGTGAATTTACACGAGCACATCCACTGTGCTCGTGTAAATCCACACGAGCAGGCATTTTTATTATTCGTTTTTTTTTTTTTAATTGCTCGTGTAAAAACACACGAGCGGTTGCAAAGTGCTCGTGTGATTTCACACGAACGCTTTTCAACCGCTCGTGTGTTTTTACACGAGCAGATTTTTTTTTTTTTTTTTTTTTTTTTTTTTTTTTTTTTGAATTATAAGATGCTCGGGCAAAAACATGCGAGCATTTCAACAGTGCTCGTGTGAAATCAGATGAGCACTGTTGAAATGCTCGCATGTTTTTGCACGAGCACAACAATTTAATTTTTTTTTTTTTTTATTGGGTAGGAATAGTACAAAAGGTAAATAGATATGGTAAAAAGGTAAAAAATCATGGTAAAAAAGTGTCTGAATGTTTAATTTGGCCTGCGTATATCATTACCCTTCATCTAATTGCAATAGTCGTATTTCGATTTTTTGGGACCACAGGTTTTGTGTTTGGTTATTATGAGCATAAGGTGTTGCATGTTCGGCCTATTTCTGGATTATTTGATGCTCTGTTTTCTCTCACTGTTGTTTGTGCTAGTTATTCTTGGTTTGAGTAGCGTATTCTTTGGGATTCATTTCGTGATATTTTTTAGATGGTTGGAGACACCCCTTGGATTTCTGAGGATGATTTCAACTTTATTTTACTTGAGTCGGAGCATAATAGGTTTATTTGGGACAGGCGGTTGAACATGACTGAATTTGGTGATATTATGTAAAACTGTGGTTTATCGGATGCTGGTTTTTCAGGGGCTAGTTCTTGATTCACTTGAGAGAGTCCAACAAGTCTTTTGGAGAGGCTGGACATAATTTTCTATATTTCTGTCTTCTTGGATTTATTATCTTTCATTCAAGTGACTCATCTTTCTCAGACCGGGCAAATCGTGCACCGTTAATGGTTTTGTCGGTTGCTTCATTGTCTATGCCGCCTATTTCATTTTGGTTTTCAGCATATGTGGATTCATGTCGCCAGACAGTGGAGCGGGCTTAATGTTTCTCGTGTTCTCAGACGGGGATGCTTCGATTGCAGACTAGGTTGAGAAAAGTGAAAAAAAAAACTTCAATGGTGGAATTGGAATGTGTTCAAGGATGTTTTTAAGAACATTGAGCGGGCCGAGAATGAGGTTTAGGAGGCTGAGCATGCATATGATTTGGACCGCTCCCCCGAGCACTATACGATTTTGAATAAGGCCATGGCTGAGCTCACTCTTATGCTACATATTGAGAAGGATTTTTCTAAGCAAAATGCAGCGTGTACATGGGCGACTGATGGGGAAAGAAATTCCAAGTTATTTCACTCGTTGGTCAAGAAGAAGAGGTGTGTGAATCAAATTTATTTTATCTCTCTGGGTGAGTCAATTCTTTTCTTACTATTCTCAGGAGATCATGGACTGTGGTGTCGAGTTCTTTAGTAGACTTCTTATAGATGATGATCCTAGTCTGCTTTCAGTTGATGAGTCATTGTTTGGGATTTCTATGAAGGTGGAAGAATGCATGCAAGCTTCACTACTACACTATTATACTTATTCATAAGGTGAATTTTCCGACTGTTTGGTCCGATTGTTGCTCGATTAGTTTCTGCAATGTGACCAGTAAGATTATCACTAAGATCGTTACGAGCAAACTGGTGCCTCATTTTCCCTATATCCTTTCTCCATCTTAGAGTGGGTTTGTTCAGGGTCGGCTCATTGGTGATAATATATTGTTGACATAGAGATGGTCCACTCGATTTCGGCTCGTTGTCAGAATCCAAATAATATTCTTAAGTTGTACATGGCTTATGATAGGTTAGAGTGACGTTTCTTATTTCGTGTACTCGAGCTCATGGGGTTTTCGGTTGTTCCCGTTGATATCATTCGGCGTTGTGTTTGTGTCAGTTTTGTTTGCTGGCCAACGAGGAATTGACGGGTTATTTTACTTCGACTCAAGAACCCGCTCTCGTCGACTCTCTTTGTTCTATCTGTTATTATCTTTCCAGAGGTTTTGAGTACCTTTACCGTCGTTGTCAATATGTTTTATTCTATTGGTGGTGGTATTCCCATTTCTCATTTGGCTTATGAGGATATTGTGTTTACTTTTACCGCTTGTTATACTTATGGTCTGAAGAAGTTAAGAGATTGTCTAAATCGTATATATCGTATTTTTTTTGGCCAAAATATTTTTATTCAACTAAATACTTTTGAAAGTATTAAGGGGCCTCGTTAAAAACCTTGTGGGCCTACACAAGGAAAAGAGTCACCTATAAACAGAAAGGAATAAAAACAGGATAGAGAAAGTCCTATACTATCTATTACAAAAATGCGCGAAAAAAGGGCTAAAAAGAAAAAAAAAAAAAAAAAGTACAGACTACACTACCGAACAAGACTACATTCCGAGAATTGCTAAAAGGCCCCTAAATTGGGGTGAAAGTGTAAATACACTGAAAAGCTGCTCCAAAACAGTTTCCTCTTGGCACCAGTTCCAATAATGGCATCAAAGTCCAAGGATGGTGGCAATTATGTAAAATTCAGAAATATGAACTCCAAAAAGTCCAAACCATACAATAGTGAAGGTATGTACACCCAACTTGTGTTCCAAATAAGCTGCTTTGACCCCAAAAGGTAATGAAGACCCGAAAAAAAATTATTGTGTTGATTTGTGAGTATACGCCCAGTTGGCAAGACGATCAGCCACTGTATTCTTCTGACGAACAACATGCTGAAAACTATGCGACGAAGCCACCACCTGTATACACTGACGAAGAACGAACTCAAACTCCCATGCAACACTCTGAGTTCAGATAGCCGTAATCGCCAGAAGAGAACCACTTTCCACCGTATGGCAAAAGAAAAATTTGGATAGGATCCTATAACATATCCTCCTTCAAAACCGGACGTGAAAATTTCCTTTCATCCGGCTCAAGTAGGTTACCAACTAAATAAGGGAGTTCTCGCTTTCAAATTATAGAAAACCCCAAAGTAAAAAGATCTACTCCTTACTCAAGTTCCCAGTGAAGACCAAGCAAGATTTCATCGATTCCACCTTCTTTTTATTTATTATTATATTTAGATTTTCTTAATTCGTTCATTAGAAATACCGAGGCTCTTACATAGTCTAAGCCCACAAGGTACCACCAAAAGTTCGGCAAAATTAATCGTACTAGCCCCAAAAAACGATGAAAAAGCTGCAAGCACTTCCCCAGCCAAGTCCCGAACAATCCCTTCTCCAGTACATACATCATCCTTTACTGAACCATCAGTGTTGAGTTTAAACTCACATACATTTGAGAAATCCCACTTGTACCAAGAACATCTCTTTGTCAAGGGCTGCACCATACGTATAAATCGTACTTGACCAGCCCTGCGTGACGAGCTCTGCACCATACGTATAAATCGTATTTGACCAGCCCTGCGTGACGAGCCCGACCTAAATAATATTGATATAGTGAGTAGTCGAACGCAATCGTTCAACTTTAAATGTGCGGTATCGTTACTCCACCAACTAAATTCCTATTTAAGTGTTTTTTTTAGAAAATCACGACAAACTACATAAATACATCAAATATACCTCTTTCTCACACAATAAAGAAAAAAAAGAAGAAAGAAACTAATATAAATAAACACAATAATAAAATTCTTCCTAGTTATCATAGATGGGAATTTTTTCACGTTTCACAACTCTTAAAATAGGACAATTACACAATTAATTATTCTGTGTATGAAAGAGAAGAAAAAAGAAGAAAAATCAATTGAAAATTTCTCCAAAATCATGTAAAGGTTTTACTTACGGGGCATGCTAAATCCTACACTAAAATGTACTAAATCCCACACATAAATTAAAAAAACATTATCTCTCTACTCAAATTTTCTCTAACTTCTCTCTAAAATGATTTTATCCAAGTCACTCAAAATTCATTATTTTTTACGTGAATAATCATAAAAAATGAGTTCTATTTTATTTAATATTTATTCAATTTCATTAAGCATTTTTAATTATTCAAATTCATATGAGTTCGATTTTTTTTCCTCAAATTCCAACTTTATTTTAGTTTGAACATGTGAAGATTTTTGTCAAATTCGAACTTGGAATGCTAAGGATGTTTTTAGTGTGTGATTTTGTGAAAACATTAGGGAAAAAAAAGAAGGATACGGAAGAAGAAGAGATGATTTTAGAAAAAAAAATATTTTTAGTTACGTGCATGATTTAGTAAAAATAGAGTGAAATTTACCGTTTCAGTTTTAGATAATATCTCAACCCGACCCGAGTGTAAATCCATTGAAGTCTAAATAGTATAGTGCGAAACAAAGTGTAAAAAGCAAATGCGAGAAGAAACGCCGACTCATCCATACAAATATACAATAATCTCTCTCTCTTCTCTCTCTCTTCTCTCTATATAACAACTGCTTTTTCGTCTGCCTTACACACACACACACACACACCTTCTTTGCCCTTCTTTCGTCTATCACAGAATCTCCTCCAAAATCTTTTTCATTTTACTTTTAATTTTTACTTTTCTTTCAATTTCTTTTTTCGCCGATGGGTTCATCCTCTCAAGCCAGCCTTCTTCTTCAGAAACAGCTTAAAGGTATATATTATTTCTGATTGCGATTGGGAATTAGATTTTTTCTTTTTGTGTCGGTGAATTGGGGGGTTTTTGTACCAATTATTAGGTTTTTGAGTTAAATCTCGTGGGTTTTATGATCTACGCTTTCTCTGTACAGATCTGTGCAAAAACCCCGTCGATGGATTCTCGGCCGGTTTATTGGACGAAACCAACCTCTTTGAATGGAGTGTTACCATAATTGGCCCCCCCGACACTTTGTAGTGAGTTTTTCTTTCTTTTCTAATTCAATTGGGGTTTTCTGTTTTCTTAATTCGGATGAATACTCAATTGTTTATTTATTTAATGTTTTCGAAATTATGAATATGTTTTGCATTTGCCTTTGAATGATCTTGGGCTCTACAATTCTGTATTTGAATGTAATTTATATGTGAATGTTTTTTTGGTGGTTTTGTTTAGTTGAATTAGGAAAGCTAGGATTATTGGCAATGTCATTATTTATTAGGGCTGTCGCTTTTTGTGCATACTCGATGCGGAAGATTAGGCTCGATTTAATGAAATCTTTTCATATGGTTATTTGAATTCAGTACTATCTTTATTTGTTTGGAACCATTTGTAGGATAATCGTGGTCATTAGTCCCGCGGATTGCTTTCACAGGTGAATATAGATTTTTTCATTGGCCAAGTATTGGCTATTTGATAGAGTGAAGGCTTCAATCCGTTTGGTTTTTTTTAATAGAAATTAAGTATGGAAATTTAAACTCTCATTGTGGAAGGAGAGGATTATTACACATTAACCATTAACTTCATTATCTGGCCAAGATTCCGGCTATTGCGCAATTTTCAGGCCAATTTTTGTAATCTTTTTGCTAAGAACTGTTAAAAATTGTGCGTCAGTTATGTGACGAACCAAAAATTAAACTCTCATAATGTAAGGGGAGGATTAAACACTTTTAGATTTTGAACTTTTTATGAGAATTATTTGGTTATGAGACATTCTAAAGAGTTAATAAACAAATTAGTAGACATCCCAGTTGTAACGATCATATTCATACTGCAAATAACATGAACACTTGTATTGGCAGAAACTATATAGTTTTCCTTTCTTGGGATTTGAAGAATGATTTCTTGATTGGTGAAAAATCTAACGTGCTTCATCTCGTTTTCTTTTACATGATATTTAATTATATTAAGAAGTTTTCAAAGGTTTTGCGTATTTCATTACTAAGAAATTCCAAGCTTGGATTCTGGGAAATTTGTCGGGGTATACAATAACAAACTTGTTTTGATTGGAAACATTCAATCTTTGAGGGTACTAACATTGAAAGGGAATAAGTATACGTTGAAATTATGTCGTATTAAATTAAATATCCTTATCCCACGTAATGAATATAAGATTCGATCTCAGTTACTGCATTTGCACAAACTTTTATGCTCCAATAATAACTGGAGATCAATTTCAACCTTTTAATCTTAAATCTCAATTGTCCAATGAAGTTTTAGTACAAAATCAATTGAGTGACAGAATATATTGATTATCACTATCCTCAAAGAAGCAATGAACTCTGGCATCTGATTCATGTATTGATGTTTTAATCATATTTTGGCTTAGTCATGTGATTATGTGATATATAAGATTGCAATACTTCTCTCGAATTCTTGCAATTAAATGCATATGCTAGGACACGTGTGTATGTAATATATGTCATCAAACCTATGTTGTATGGGTGACTGTATATATATATTATATATATAATGTGTAATGTTTATACCATATACTAATAGATGTATTTGTGTGAGAGAGAGATGCTGTCTAAGCAGATAAAATAACGGAGAAAGATGTGCTATGTAGACGAAGCTTAAAATAACATGGGGCTGCGTGAATTCTTTATCCGATATCATTGCATGTTTCGAGTTTTGATTATCAATTGTGTATTTAAAATGATGGATGCAGTGAAGGAGGTTTCTTCAATGCTATAATGAGCTTCCCCCCCAATTACCCAAACAGTCCTCCAACAGTGAGGTTTACTTCAGATGTGTGGCATCCCAATGGTTTGTACTCTCTCTCTCTCTCTCTCTCTCTCTCTCTCTCTCTCTCTCTCTCTCTCTCTCTCTCTCTCTCTCTCTCTCTCTCTCTCTCTCTCTCTCTCTCTCTCTCTCTCTCTCTCTCTCTCTCTCTCATTTTAGACCTTGTGAATTGATTTAGAGAGTTAATACAACAAAATGCAGTTTATTCTGATGGAAAAGTCTGCATATCAATTCTGCACCCACCTGGTGATGATCCTAACGGATATGAGCTTGCTAGTGAGCGATGGTCACCAGTCCACACGGTATGCCCGTGAATTAGTTTGATTTACTATTACCTTTTATATTTTCTGTCTCTAATATATTTTCTGATTATAACTTGTAATCGGCACTTTACTAATGCTTTAACCGTGCAAACGTTCTCTTTCTTATCGTGTAAATTAAACATTTCTGATAGAATAGAGACATTGCAGTGAAATCTCTGTAATTTTCTTGTCACAATTAAAATTTCATCAAAGTTCGTTGCTGGCCTTGATTGGCAGACATAAATGCCTTCTTTTCTTAAACAAAAATATGATTCATATATGGTATACTCCTTGGTTTTCATATTATTTATGATTTTAGGGGTTAAGGCAACTTGAAGAGTTAGAAACATGAGTTTGCAATTTGTCTCGTGTTGACCTACTCATAGTTCCATTTCCTGTGCGAAAATTACAACTTGCAACTTGTAGAAGAAGTTTTTGCAGTGAATAATTGAACAAGAACTCCTATTCACTGGCTCATTTGTTACGAGATTGGATGGAAATGTTTTCTCGTGTACATGATACAGTGATCTAAAGTCCATGTTGACCAACGCATGTATTTCTTTTTCTTTTAGTGCTGCGAAATTCTTGGATTTTGTCTCATTCTTTTTTCCTCCCTTTTAAAGCTCGGAATATGCTGCAACAAATTAGAAACTTCTTATAGATTATCAATGGAGAACAAATGAGGACCCATGGACTGACTTGAATCAATTTATTTCAAAATATTTCTTGAATTTAACCAATTTAAGTGATACTTGAGCTGTATAAGCTATTAAGTTTTATATTTATTGTTCTAGTCGCTGATGAATAAGCAGATTGATTGTAATTAGTTTCGGATATAGAATTTATTTGTGTCATTACTGATAGAGAATCTCATGAACCCATTAACCAAATTGACATTAAGCCATAATTTCAAGATGCAAATTGAAGAGTTCATATGAGACATCTTTGTTTTTCAAGCATGGTTGGGGGAGTTGTGAACTAGTGCCAAATGGTTTTTGCCTAGTATTGCCTTATAAAGTATTAGTTTTTGGATTATTCTTTGATACTCGATTAATGTATAATAAAAGTTCTTTTTTTGAATTTTTTTTCTTCTAAATATTTTCTTGCCGAAAATAGAGTATCTAACGTAAATCATAATTGCAATACAAGTATTCTGCCTCAACTTAAACATGTGTGGTGGCTTATGATTTTCAGGTTGAGAGTATAGTTCTAAGCATCATATCTATGCTTTCAAGTCCGAATGACGAATCTCCTGCTAATGTCGAAGCTGCTGTAAGTGCAAATTCATTACACTCATCTGAAATGATCGTTTAGTTATTGATTTTTTTATTTTTATTTCCTTTAGTATTGAGAATACTACTTCATAATTGTGTTTTCTCTTCCCTTGTAAGTTGATAATTGATACAGTACCTTTGTGTGTTTTTGTGGTTGATTAATGCAGAAGGAATGGAGAGAACGAAGGGATGATTTCAAGAAGAAAGTTAGTCGTTGCGTAAGACGATCACAAGAAATGCTTTGAACAAAAATATCCCAAATGTTGCTGTTTTCTGAAAAAAAAATGAAAAAAAAAAATCTCCGGTTTCGACCGGAGAATTTGGCTTCTTTTTTGTGTTACTATCTTGTGCGGACGATGCGATTTTATAAGACCACATGATATGTTTTCGTAATGGATCTACTGTGTTAGAACCTAATCATATTGGTTCGTGACTGATGAAATTCTACGGGGAAATAGTTTTTTGAACCGTTGTGGTCATTCATAAACTTGGTAATTGTCCTAGCTACCTTTTCTGTCTACTATTTTTTGGTTCGGTTGTGTTTCTGATTAGTTATTTTTTGGTTCGTTTATCGCATGTGAATTGTGAAACTGAAAACTTGTACTATTTTGAATTGCAAAAAAGTTTTCATAAAAAAATTACAATTCTATAGGGATCGTTCGGTTACTTATATCAGATTAGTTTGGGGAGACGACACTTCCATATTGAATTTGTTTGGATTAGATGAGATCATGAGACTAAATAATTTTTTCACAGTTTAATTTTGGTATTACATATATTGGATTAGTTTGTGATAGATGATTTTAAATTAATTTTCTACTAATTAATTAATTAATTAGTTAGTTAAATGTTTGGTAAGATACATTAGATTTTGTATTAAATTTATTAAATTATGATATTATATGTACTATGTGTAATATGTGTATAAAACCTTTTAGTTAACACATTAAAATATGATTTTCAGGATAAATTTGTTCTTCTATTATAGTCACCCCTCAAATTTAACTATTGATATCAATTCTTTTCAGGCTTAATCTCACTTTGCACCCTTGAAATGGAGCCTTATGGCACTTTGCACCCTTAAAAAAATAATAATAGCACTTTGCACCCTCAAAACACAATAAATCATTTACAATGCACCCTTAATTGAATAATAAAGGATAATTCATTTTTTATTGATTTTTTTTTCGGGGTGCCAAGTAACAAATTAAATAGTTATTTTTTTTTTCAACCTCCAATCTAATTTCGAGCGCACAAAGTGCGAAAAAAATAAGAATTACACCGGATAATTAAACAAAAAACTATATTTTCTTGCAAAATAAAATCAAATAAACTTTTATCACTAAATTATTCGATTGATAGATCTTTTATTGTAATTGGTGGAAATAGTATGTAGAAATATTTGGAAGAAAATACGATTTTCAGATAACTTGATAATGAAATAGCTAAAAGAATTTTTTTTCGTAAAATTTTTTTTTGTAATAAAAAATATAATTTTTAAATACCACTAAGAATATTAAATTACCTCTATTAGCTTTAAAAACTCATGTGGAGTGCATTATGCATGATATATTGTTGTCCGAGGGTGCAAAGTGCTATTAATTTATTTCGAGGATGCAAAATGCCAAAATGATATATTTCAAGGGTATAAAGTGGGATTAAGCCATTCTTTTCATCAGTTTTCCCTAACTTCTTATAACTTCTCAATTCCAAATCCATATCACATCTGTATATCAACCCAAATTATAATTTCGTTTATCGTTCAATTGCTTACAAAAATCTTTCAACTATTATTAGGGCGAAAAAAATTGAAGCTATAAAAGCCGTCGGCCATAAATTCAATAGATTTGTTGGACAATGGGAGTGAAGAGCCTTTGCACAATCGGCCAGTGTTTGCCGGCAAAAGCCACTGGCGAGAGTGGGAGTGGGGTTGGTAGAGCAACCGTACCAAACCCCTCGAATCACTACCATTACCGGAATTCGGTATTATGAAATTCATTACCATTATCCTACCAAAAACTTCGGTATACCGAACTTCGGTACACCAAAAGTTCGGTACGGTAGGGTATAGTAATTGTAATTACCAATTTATGTTATCTACTATTTAAGTATAAATTGAATATCATTTGTTCAAAGCAATTCAAGGTATATACATGTTTAAAATGTTCAAAATTAGTATTTAAGATATACGTATTCTAAATATATGATCTTAATTCACCTAATATAAAATATTTCTTAAATAAAATTATAACGTAAAAACTTTTAACATCAATTATATCATCATTAATGAAAGCAATTTAAAGGGTTTTTGTGCACAAGTCCCTGACCAACCATCTTTATTATTCTAGATTCAGGGGTTATATCTCTTTCGCCAATAAGCACATCCCTTTAATATGTATTATAAATAAAATAAAAAATTAATGTATCTACAAAATTAACCCCACCCTTTTACACTCAATTCTTAATTGCAACCCTAGTTTAATCAATTTTGACCACCAATTTTGATTTTTTTTTTTTTTTAAATTTGCCGCCGATGGCTGGCATTAACTTTTTCGATTTGTTTCTTTCTTCTGGTCTGCTTTTTTCGCCGTCGGTTTTCGGCGTTGATTGCCGGTCTCCAACGTTGACCTTTTTTTCCCTAAAATTTTTATCCGTTTTTTTTAAACCCGATGCTAAACGTTGACCGTAATTGTACTGTCATTAACTGTAATTATAATGTCGTTGACAATACATTAACGTAATTGTACTGTCGTTGACAATACATTTATGTAATTGTACTATCGTTGACAGTACAATTAGAGTCAACGACAATATTATTATTTTTTGGCCTTTTTTTTTTGATTTGTTGACAAGTCAACGTAATTATATTACTGTCGTTGACAGTAAAATAACTGTAAACACAATAATATTACTGTCAACCACATCAATATTATTTTTTTATAAGGTTTTTGTTTTGTTTGAGTTGTTGGCGGAGTAACGTAATAATATTACTGTAAACACAATAATATTATTGTGGTTGACGGTAATATTACAATTGTTATAGTAATATTACTGTCAACCACATCAATACTAATTCGTTTGGCTTTTTATTATATTTACCTTTGTTGAACGGCCAACATATTAATATTACTCTAATACACAATAATAATGACTTTTGTTGTGTTCATATTACTGTGCTAGAGATTAATATAGCAATATTACTATGTAAACTGTAGTATAATTAATATTACTGTATTTAACAGTAATAACTAATATAGTTAATATTACTCTCAACCACAACAATATTGTTGTGTAAATTAAAGGGAGCAAAAATATGTTAAAGAAAAAAAATCAAGAAAAAAAGAAAGAAAAAGTCAACGCCGCCAGAGACCGGCGGCAAAAGCCAAAAAAAAAAAAAAAATCGAAAAAGTCAATGCCAGAAACCGGTGGAAAAAAAATCGAAACGCCGGAGATCAACGGTCAATGGCGGCGACGGACGAAATTGTACTCAAAATTGTATTTTGGGTTCAAATTGAATAATCTATGAAATTTGGGGTCAAATTGAGGTTAAATTAAATTAAATGATGAAATTGGAGAATATTAAAATGTGATGGGCTATTTTAGTCTTTTACAAACCTCTGGACAATGTGAGGACTTTATTGTAAAAGAGTTTTTTTATCTGGACCCCTATATGAATAAGTACTTATTGATGGACTTATTTGTAAAGTTCCCCAATTTAAAATATTTTTGACATCTGAAGAGTATAATTAATTTTAACTAATAGTAGTTAATTAAGATACTATGTTCACTTTTCATCATAAAATTTTCTATAATTTTCTTATAACTTTTCAATTCCAATTCTATGTCAAATCTGTATATCAATCCGAATAATAATTTAGTCGTTTAATCGCTCACATATAAATCTTTCAACAATTACCAGGGCAAATAAAATTGAAGCTATAAAATCCGCTGGCCATAAATTCAATAAAATTCGTCCGGGAGTAAGAGAAGAGGAGCCTTTGCACACTCGCCTAGTGTTTGCCAGCAAAAACCACTAGCAAGAGTGGTCGAAATTACAAGTAAGAATTGTTTCTTCAGTAAAGAGGGAGGAAACAAAACTCTTGGTTTTTTCTTCAAAACAGAAATCTATTTATTTCTTCGCAACCTTATTCTTTACTTTACGTGTTATCAAAAAGGAATTTTTCCATGTTGTAATTTTACATCTTCTTCAATATTCATATTTGTTTGTAATATGTTGCACTGCATAAACACTGATTTTCTTTTCATAAGTCGTACAAATATGACACCACAAAAACTAAGTCTCAATGATATTATACTAGCGCTCTTTGAATGTTTGACTCTGGAAAGTTCCTACCAAGACCGATCAAACTGATATTAATAGTATCGATATAGTCTTAGTCGTCGAGCATGTTGTTATTCATTTACACATTTATTTCTCTTATGTCTACTAAAATTTATTCACGTGCTTATTGATATTGTAGCATATAATTTTTCGGGGAGGAAAAATTCATGTGTGTAGAGTGTGATCCAAATATATTCTTTGTGCATTGTCCATTTATCAATCCATCCTGCAACCCACTTACGAGCAACCCATGAAATTTTGAGGCCAAATTAAAAGGCAGCCCAATCTCACTTTGGCTTTCCCTCTCTATCTTCGCCGTTTATAACTCTCGTATTATCCGGGAGAAGATTTCAATCTGCCTCTTTTTCCTCTCAACAAAATTTTCTTCTTATCCTCAACAAATCTTGGTGATTTTTGTCAGATTCTTCGTGATTTTGGTGGATGATTTGGGCGTATAAGTGCACCCTATTCCCTTCTGTGCGCGGGACAAGAAAGAGACAGAAAAAAAAAGAAAACTTTGTGTATTTTTTAGATGAAAAATCAGAGTGAAAGAGAGAACATTTTTTGAGAAGAAAAGCTCGATCTTTTCTGTGAATTCGAGCCTCCTTCTTTAAGGATAAACCGGTGAGATTAGGGCTTGAATTTAGGGTTTCGTTTTTCTTTGCTTTTCCATTGGAATACACTCTGTGTGTGTGTGTTGTGTGGCTGCCGTAAGTGGCTGGAGGCCCCAATTGGATGTTGGACGAGGAGAATCGAAGACTGAGCCGGAAATTCGAACCACCGCCAGAGCAGCCGTGACCGTTCGAATCTCTCAATTGCATAACTTAGTGTCCAGTCACTGTCCTTTTATCTATCCCTTTTATTTTATTCTATTTTTCAATTGTGAGATTGCTGTTGAAAATTTTGTTAGTTCTTGATGTCTAGGATTGTTGCCGTTAAGTATTAGTTTAATTTGCTGAATGAATGGTTATGCCTATATTAATTTTGCTTATGCCTATACTAATATGCTGATGTATAATACTACAGCTAAGTTGGTATTATTTGATTATGATTTCTAAATTAGATATATTCAGCATTATAATTTAGTTTAATTGTTTCCAATAAAATATGGGCATTATGGCTTTGTGTCTTGTTTCTTCTCCGGGTGGATACCCAACAATGGTATTGATCCGGGCTATTTTGCCCAAGCCCAATAGACTTACCAATCAG